AAGAGATTTAGAGAAGTGCTCATTGTTTAAGAAGCAGTAATATAAAAAAAAGACAAAAAACATACAACAGTGGGTATTCGCTGGTGGTCACCTACCTAACTACTAATCCACTGATCTTAAGTTTATGTATAGCAGAGCAGACGGGATGCCTAGTTCGCTTAAGTGTATGGTTGTATGTGCTAGCTACTCGGTTGCGGAACTATATAGAGGGTGCCTATAGCTACTATACCTACCTACAATAGAAGCGACCATTATATCTGTAACATACACATAGTTTGCTATTTACAATCCTACCCGTTCCCCTATTATTGTGATCCGGTATAGATGTGAAAGGTGAAAACTTCGTTCACCTATAGGGCTATATGTGTTGACGATTGGCTTATATCTATGTCAAGTTTGATAGATTAAAAGGTGTTATAGCCATTTTCCCACATGGCAAATTGATCAAAACTCCCTGCATTAAGAGCAGCTTGGAAGAAGTCCTCGTAGCGGTCGTCTATAGACCACGATAGAGAGTCCCATTGATATTCTCCTTGTGCTGGAGGGATGGAGGTCAGGAGTGGAAGCCCTTGATCTTGGGGAGTGAACTGCGCTTCTGCCTTTTTCGACCCATGACTATTTCGTCGAACGTGAACTTTTCCAAGGAGTGGAACCCTCAGTGTTAATTCCTGTAAACCAGAAATCTTGTCATCTTGGAGTAACTTCATCAAAGAGCGAATTGTCGAGGCCCCACACAAGGCGAAGTCAAACCCAAAAGACTTCCTGGACCTTTCCTCCATGATGTGGATGACTAGCGCAACTGCGCTATTAATCCGCCCGCTTAAACGATCTCGCAGGCTGTAGGACGTGAGAATAATAACAACTGTAGCCGTGAATGCTTGTAAATCCAAGGCCTGGGAAATAAAGATGTTCGAAGGTAGCGCTTGACGTAGAAATTGGTAACGTTCCACCGAAAATTCGCATGCGTCTTTACAGGCCAGGCGGCTGTAAATATACTCATCACCAGTGTCCCGTCGCATTGCAAAGGACAAATGAATCCTCATCTTGACACAGTAATGTAGAAACTGGACAACATGCTCAGATTGAAGCTTCCCGGAGCTAATAGCCCACCACGACTTTGGGACCTGTGAAACAAGCACATTGAGCTGTCTGTCGAGTTCTAGCGTCGATGCATATAGCTCAGCATCTCGGTATTGAATTTTCGTGGAGATGTTCATTAATCTGATAAGGTAAGCCCGGGGTTGAATAACACCATCGATAGCTAAGGGCGGGGAATATGACTGCTGGTATTGACTAGCACATGGGAGATTAACTATCATCCCAAACAGGCCTTCAGCAGAACATAGCGATTCCCACATCTGAGCTCTTTGGAGCTGCGTCTCGTCGTTGTCTCGTCCAGTAGATCCGTTAAGCTGATACGCTTCGGATGACCTCGGCAGTCCCATAAGCTCCGCAATCGATATATAATGCCGTAATTTGAGCCATCCCTTTTGGAAATTGCCATGGCTAATTTGGCTATATTTGCCGTTAGTTTTGCCTAGGGAGGATGTCAATAGCTCACAGTCGACAAAAATTTAAGGCCATTCCAAGGCCCGCAAGTGTGCATATCAATCCGTCATGAGATAGAATCGTGCTCTCCACTCTGTCAGACACTGCTCGGGAAAAGCTTAGGTGGCTGGCGTTTGGCATCTCTTGAATAGCAATAGCAATGGTAAGGAGCCATGAGCCAAGACAGATGGCGTCAGCGTCTGGCTTGTGCATCTCGTCATAGAGTTCGACCATTTCGCGTCCAGATTCTATCGCGAATGGTTGGGGAAGCAGGGCAACTATCAGTCCAAGCCACTTAGATGCTGACCTGGCAACCTCGATAACCTCGTCTTTTTGTGGAATCAACTTCTGCAGCTCATGCCTTGCTGCATCTAGTAAATGTACAGAGGCCTTTGCCTTGCGATCCTGCAGCTGTTCATTCTGCTGACGAGTATCTACACTCAGCCAGTCGTTTTGAAAGAGCGAACGAAGATGCGATGGTGGGTCTGCAGTGATGATTACGTCTGAGACGCTTGAATCATCGTCGGAGTCATCATCCACCCTGGAACTTGGAGAGTGGGCAGGTTTCGGTATTTGAGTAGGCTGATGCCCAATACTCAGCCCAATATCATGAACAATCTTGCTCAGACCAGCAACTTGTGATTCTAATTGGGATATGCGATATCGTGACGACACTCTTTGTGCGTTTCGAGGTCGAGAACTATATAGCTGTGCAATACAGGTCGATCCTCGTTCTTCACACCTCCGGCAGGTTGGCGCATCCTCCGGGCTGCGGATGCAACGGACTTTACGGCGTCTGCCTGTTTTTATGCATCAGAATAGGTGGTTGTCTGGCAAGTTACACAAGGGTGTGATCTCTTCACTTACACTCGGTACAACTTACAGTCCCTTTCCGACAATTCGCCCGCGTTCGGTCCTCCGACATAGTTACATCTGTCAAATATTCCGCTTTGTATCTACATAAATAGCAATTTTGCAATGGTAGACAGTAAGACAGGAACGAGGACGTTGGACAACGGACGGAAGAAGAACAGATTTTAGAAGGTTCGATGCGCGGGGCGGTCTCCACGGACGACTCTCGGCTCCGCGGCTCTCTGTTTCGTCCGCCCGTCCCGCAGCCGACCCTGAAAATGTGGATAGAGCAGGCCATCAAGCATTCTAATTGGTCTTTCTTGACGGTCTGGCGTCATCCCCGTCGCCGATGCCCACCTAGGCAAAAGACGATCGCCAGCCAAGTCTATATAACCGATTGGTATTTTCTTAGGTAGGAGCTTCGTGCTCAACTCAATACAGTATCTTCACATACTAGTAACGTGCATACTTGAGAATGAAGCCTTCGTATTACTTTAATCCATGTCGGAAAACCCAAACCCAACTCTCAAGACCCCTTCCACCATAGAGCAGTCTACGAAACATTACATATAGCTTCATAGCCACTATCTAAATCTTCATCATCCTTCGCCTATAGCAGACTAGATCAGGGTGGAGTTGACTAGGTTTACACTTATATCCCATGTTAGGAGCATTTGCTGTTTTCCGCAGAACGGTTCGCATAGTTCAACCCATGCCCAAATTTGAAAACAGGGCTTTTTGTGTCGAATGGCACATCCTCCATCTGCGCTTCAACAGCCTCCATGGACCTTGGCAGATCAAAAGGCAGCTTGCCGTCAGGCGCGCTTATGCCGAACACAACGTCTAGAAATGCCTGGCTGTCGCTCCCGAAACTCGCGAAGACAGCCTCAGCCTGTTTAATAACCTCCGGAATCACGGCGGGCCGATCCATAGCGATATCCACAATAGTCGGTACAGTTGAATATATCTTAGACTGACGAGCCTTCTCTGTTTCATTAAATGCAAGCGAGCCAGCATGGAACGCAGACTCGAATTGGCCGGGGCGAGGCTCGTAGGGTGCTTTATATCGGAGAAGGGCGTAATCAGCTTGCTCCGGGGTATCAACAACCTCATAGTTCCGTACATCCATAAAAGTAGTGTTGAAACCTTCAATATAAAACTTTGTGCCGTTGTTAAGCTGCCGGAATGGAAGAATATTTCTCTTGTTGCTGAGAAGGGTGTATGATTTCCTCTGAGCCTCTCTGCCCAGACGGACAAAGTAATCATTTCCAACAATCCGACCAGCAGCCCCAGGATCGACGAAAGGATTTTCGAAGAGACCGAGGGTGAACTTCTCTCTTAGAGGTCGACGAACGGAAATATTGATGCGCTTCTCCGATATGATGCCTTCTCGGACAAGTTGAACGACCAGTTCGGGGCGATCCTCGCCGCCAAACTGGTCACAACCGGCTTCAATAATTCTTGCTGCCCGCTCGACCTCAGTGAGATTTTCAACGCCCCAAGCTCGAGCAGGAAAAGGTTCTCCTCTAATAGAACCGTCTGTAATAAGCCCCCAGTCTGTCAGTACAATGCCCTCGAATCCAAGCTCGCCGCAAAGTAAATCGGTCACAATTCCCTTGTTGAAGGCGAAGCCGACGGCGTCGTAGTCTGTGCCAATGGGTCGCGAGTAATATGGCATGATTTCAGTTACACCAGCAGCGATAGCTGCCTTGAACGGTTTTAGATGCTCTTCAAAGTTATTGCCAGGATAAGTTTGGTTCTTGCCGTAAGCGAAGTGAGAGTCCTCGCCATTTTCCATGGCTCCACCTCCGGGAAAGTGTCTAGTGACTGTCTTAACAGATTGAGGACCGAGCTTATCCCCTTGGAAGCCCTTGATATATTCTGCGATCAACTCACTGGTCAACGTACTATCCTCTCCCTAAGTATTACCAATACGGGCCCACCGTGGCTCTGTCGAGAGATCGACTTGCGGGTGTAGCGCACTACGAATTCCAACAGCCACATATTCCTCCCTTGCGATTTCAGCAAACCTTCTCACCAGGGCGGTATCCCGAAGCGCAGCAAGGCCAAGGCTCTTCGGCCACTGAGAGAAAACACCGGCGTTGAAACCAGTACCAACGTCCTCGGTGAAAGCATGGCGAGGATCAGACGACACTGTGATGGGAATGCCTAGCCGGGACTGCAATGCTCGCTTCTAAATAAGATTCATAAACTAGGCAGTCTCTGTAGCATTGGTAATATCACCAGCGAGGTTGAAGTGAGTCATATATTTTTCGCTAATCATGGTGCTGGTGCTGTTGAGCGTGGTGCCGGCAGACCCTTCTTGGTCGAGAGGACCTTGGAAAATCATAGCCTAGAAGAGCTGGCCGGCCTTCTCCTTAATAGTCATGCGATCTAGGAGATCTTTGACGCGCTCATCGATACAATAGGATGCGTTTTGTAGATTGGAGGACTCTAGTCACGTCTCGACAAGGAATGAATTTCCGATTCATAGCTCGTGACGGACAGGGTAAGGCACCCTAAAGCCAGAGTTATTAGGATTACTACCACAGAATCAACCCGCATGGTAAACACGATTAAGGAGTCAGGGTTTCTTGGGTAAATGACTGAACCTGCAGAAGTTTGATTTTATTTGGGGTTGCATACCTAAATATTTATATCAGAGCCTTCAGTTATAGCTACTTCTTAGCAAGAAATATCGAGGCAGCCAGGGGACATGCACTCCGCAAACTCCGTCTTGTAACTACACTAACAATCAACTATCGACCCCGCGTGAGGAGTACAACCTCGGGTTAAGGGAATACCGTGCTAGACCACTCGAATAGAACCGAGATTGGGGTCATATAGGGGTGCTAAGAATGTCGGCGCTCAAACCAGGATAGTAGGTATTGCTCTGTAGGATCACCGCTACGCGGTGGGCGGATACAGTCAGAAGTTGCCTCT